CTTCTTTTTCTTGCCGAAATAACAAGGATCGGGGAAAAGGAGAGGGATGCAACGAGGGAAGGAGAGGCTCGTGGAGAGGCCTTGGAGGATTCGAAAAGTAGAGGGTATGAGAGAGAGAGAGAGAAAGAGAGAGAGAGAAACGAGGGGGAGTAGAGAGGGGATTGCAACGCGGGGAATAGAGAGAGACGGAATGGTAAGCGAACGCGAACTCTCGATGGCCTGTGCCCACGAGGTCTCCCCTCGTGCGATACTTCGGTATAAAAGCAAAGCAACCTCTTTTGGATGTAACACACGAGGTTCGATCGACGCTCATCCTGGCGTCCTCTCCGTGGCTCGACACGTTACTCGCGCGATCGTATCGAGGATAATAATAATAATAATAATAATAATAATAATAATAATAATAATAACGAGCGACTTTTCTTCAATTTTTTTTTTTTTTTCGAATCGGTGGTGATCCTTTCTTCTTTTTCTTCTCCCGATTTCTTCTTCTCGTAACTTCTTACGTCGAGGATCTTGATCTTGAGGAGGAAGATGACCAAGTACTTTGTGACCGTTCTGTGGCTGCTTCCGATACTGGCCGCGGCGCTGCCTGCCAATGACAAGCCCGGGACCGAGAACGACCTCATGGCGACCATATACACCGATTGTTTGAAGAAGGAATCGATCAATTGCATCAAGTACAAAGTATTCTCGTACGTGGACAAGATGCTCGCCGACAAGGAGGATTTCACGCTCACGGACGGAATCACTGTGGTCAAAACGTCCAATGCAAACGAGGAAGGTGCACCTAGGTCGGTCTCTCTTTCTTCTTTCTTTTTGGTCTTGAGCAATCTTATCGGTTATAGATCGATTATAGATTAATGAGTATTTTTTTTTTTTTTAATACGCACGATTTCGATGGCTTCTTTCCTTTTCGCGCGTGACATTTAATTTTTTTTTATTTTCGTTTCGTCGCGATTATTGCAGATCGATAGAGTCGAGCGACTTGGACACGCTTCTGTTCGACCGTCTGGGCAGGTTCTTGAGGACGTATTCGATCAAGGTCGATCTCAAGGGAACCGATATCCTAGGCGCCATCGAGTCTGCCGGTCGAAGTTTCGAGGATTTCACCTCCGACAACGCCGTGGAGAGTCGTGGCAAGAAAAGTAATTAACGATTCAAATTACTCTAACGTAATCACCACTATAACTCCAAGACTGTATACTTTCCTCTCGGCTCATCCATCATCACTTATCGGGATACCACTTTGTACGAGGAGACGCGATTAGTTCGATGCCGGTTTTCCCAAGGCTCGTCGTCGACGCTTTTCAACCGCGACGTCGGCTATGCCGAGGAAGCTGGCCGCGAGACGTTGACCCACTGAGGAACTGGTTCCGCTTCCCCTCGAAGCGGACCCACAAACGGAGACGCGATCACCCGCGAGCGAGGAGAGAGAAAAAGACAGACCTCCTCTCGAGATCTCGTCGCGCGAGATTTTTGACATACTTTCTTCCGTTCACGGGGTACGTCGCCTTGACCTTCGCCTATTCCACTTAAACGGATCTCTCCGCGCGTATCATTCTGAGAAAGGTCGGGCCCTCCTTCCTTTGCCCGTTTCGTGGGAAGTTCCAGATAAGTTCTCGCACGAGATCTCGCGTGTATACGTTGCATAAACATTAGCAACGACCAACTATTCCTTGTCACACGAATTTCTCTCACCTCTTAATCTTGATCTTATTTCGTTCCGATAAAATGAGACAAATTCCGTACAAACAAACGTGTCCCGATCGTAACGAAAATTGTTACAACGTTATCGTTGTTCGTTTAACGAGCTCCGTCGAATTGTTTCGCAGAGAAAGCCCAGAAAATTCTCGGCCCCCTGATGATGGCTCTGGCCCTCAAGGCTGCAGCCCTGTTGCCGTTGGCGCTGGGCGCGATCGCCGCCATCGCTGGCAAAGCTCTCCTCGTCGGTAAAATAGCTCTGGTTATCTCCGCCATCATTGGATTGAAGAAGTTGCTCAGCTCGAGCGGAAAACACGTGACGTACGAGGTCGTGTCGCATCCCCATCACAGCAGCAGCAGCCACATAGTCAGTCACGACGATGGGGGCCACGGCGGTTACGGCGGAGGTGGCGCCGACTATGGCGGCGGTTATTCCGGCGGAAGCAGTGGCCACGGTTGGGCCAGAAGTCTGCCTCAAGACGCCCACGAGCTGGCTTATCGCGCTCACCAACCTCAACCGCAAGCATAAAGAATCTCATAGAAAGTCACTTTCCTCTTTACCTCGTCCTTTGATTCACTACTTTCCTTTCCACTCTTTCCTTCCTTCCTTCCTTCCTTCCTTCCTTCCTTCTTCCTCGTTCATCCTTGCGCTCTCTATTTTATATTTATTTATTTGTTGTTCCTGTATCCTCGAACGACGTATCATCTCAAAGTTTTTCTCCACTTCTTCTTCCCTCCCGTCTTCTTCCTCGAACTCTCCTCGAAATTCTTTCTTTCGTTCCGTTTCCACGAGGAACCAGTACCTTCGCGAGATACTCGTTCCATGTATAGCGTATATATTATGTCGAGCATTGTTTATTTATTCAACTGCGCCTAACATGATCTAGTATTTATTTAATTTAATTCTATCCATTCGATCGCGCGTTATTTGTTTACCGCCTGCACATTTCTGTTCTTTGTAATAAAGAGATGACGAACGGCGCGGATGCGTCTCTTGTCCCAAAGAAAAGAGGAAAAAAAAAAAAAAGAAGAGAAAAAAAGAAAAGAAGAAAACGAAGCGTACGCGAGCGTGAGAATCCGTTTGCTGCTCTATTTATTCACACTTGCACTTCGAGGAAATTATTTTTGTATTTGTAGGATGGCACCACTGTCATGGCAACCATTGAATCCCCGTGAATCACGCGCGTTTGAGTCTTTTTCTTTTTTTTTTTTTTTTTTTTTTTTCTTCTTTTTAATACCGTT